TGTTAAAATTCATGTGAAATGTTTTGGGAGGAGTAGCCAAGTGCCTCTTGACTTGCCACTTGTATCTGTGCCCCGGTGGCCAGAGGAGGGAAATGCAGAGCACCCAGCCAGTGTGCTCACCATCAGGGACGGGTCTCCTTTTGTTAATTTTGCTGTGTGCGTAGTGTATTAGCACTTTTCTGTTGTTGTGATGCTATGCCGTGGCCAGAAGCCACTTATCGATGGAAGGGTTTGTTTGGGTGTATAGTTCCAAGGAGAGTCCATATGGTACGGAGGCATGGCTGCAGGCAGCTGAGAGAACAAGTCTCTAACTGAAAGCCGGAAGGAAGCAGAGAGAGGGGGAACTGGGAGTGGGCGGGGCTACAAACTCTCAAAGCCCGCCCACAGTGATGTACTTCCTCCAGCAAGGCTGTGCCTAATAAAGGTTCCATAACTTCCCCCTGTTGTTGTTGGTTTTTGCTCTTTTTGAGGGGAGCTGCTACCCAGCTCTCAAATAAATCATACATAGAGGCTTATTCTTAATTATAAATGCCTAGCCTTAGCATGGCTTGTTTCTTGTCAGCTTTCCTTAATTTATATTATCCATCTACCTTTTGCCTCTGGGCTTTTCCCATTCTCTTACTTCTGTAAATCTTACTCTTCCTCCGTGGCTGGCTGTGTAGCTGGGTGGCTGTTCCCTGGAGCCCTCCTCCTTCTCTGGCTACTTCTTCTCTCCCCAGATTTCTTCTATATATTCTCTCTCCCTGCCAGGCCCGCCCATCCTTTCTCCTGCCTTGCTATTGGCCGTTCAGTTCTTTATTAGGCCATCAGGTGTTTCAGACAGGCACAGTAACACAGCTTCACAGAGTTAAACAAATGCAGCATAAACAAAAGTAACACACCTTAAAATAACATTCTACAACACCCCCAAAGAGTGCCACCTATTGGAGACCAAGTGTTCAAATAAATACGTGAGCCTATGGGGGGGGGTGTTATTTCTCATTTAAAGTACTACACGTCTTCTGTTTTGTTTTTTTGTTTTTTGATTTTTGTTACTTTTTGTTTTGAGACAGGGTCTCACTATGTAGTCCTAGCTGGCCTGGAACTCATTTATATACACCAGGCTGGCCGCACAGAGATCTACTTGCCTCTGACTTCCGAGTGCTGTGATTACAGGGGTGTGTCAGCACGCCTGACCAAGTTTTGTTTAGTTTTGTTGCCCTGTAAATATTATGCATGTACTGAACAAGTGAGTCCTAACTGTATAATATCTAGCCTACAGATATTAGAGATATGACCAGTGTTAGGACTCAAGTGGGGTTAGAAGACTAACATTTTGTACATAAAAAACTAAGATAGGGCCAGGTGTGGTGGTGCATGCCTTTAATCTCAGCACTCAGGAGGCAGAGGCAAATGGATCTCTGTGAGTTCGAGGCCAGCCTGGTCCACATAGTTAGTTCCAGGACAGCCAGGGCTACACAGTGAGACACACTGTTTCAAACAAACAAACAAACAAACAAGAACACAAACTAAAACAATCTCACAGTTCTTGTTCCATGTAGATGAGAAATTTTAAAGGATGTAATTTGATTCATTTGTGCTGGAGATTGAATTCAGGACCTTGTATGTATTAGGCAAGTGAAGACAGAATTTGAAACTAGGAAAAACACAGTAAAAACCACAAAGAAAATGCTCTGAAGGCTGTAGAGATGGCTACGTGGTTAAGAACACTGGTTGCTCTCGTAAAGGACCCAGGTTCAATGCCCAGCACCCACATGGTGCCTCACAACCATCTGTAACAGCAGCCCAAGGGGATCTGATGTCCTCTTCTGGCTTCTGAGGGCACCAGACACAGACATGCGAGCAGAACATCCATACACATATAAATAAATAAAAATAAATAAATAAATAAATAAATAAATAAATAAATAAATAATAAAGCCTGGATGGTGATGGGGCCTGTCTTTGATTCCAGCACTCAGGAAGCAGAGGCAGATGGATCTTGGTGGGTGTCAGGCCAGCCTAGTCTACAGAAGAGCTAGTTTCAGGGCAGCCAAAGGCTACACAGAGAAACCCTGTCTCAAAAAACCAAAATAATAATAATAATAATAATAATAATAATAATAATAAAAATAATAATAATAAAAAATAATGAAAGTAAATGCTCAGCTAAAGATTCCATTTTCAGGGAACATTTCTAGAGCTTGTTACTAAAGAAAATTCTCAATAGTTCTAATATGTTGAATACCCCAAAAATTTCAGCACGTAAGACAAGCAAATAATTGATGCCCTTAAAAACCAAGAGTTGCTGGACGGCAGTGGTGGCACATGCCTCTAGTCCTAGCACTTGGGAGGCAGAGGCAGTATGATCTCTGTGAATTAGAGGCCAGCCTGGGCTACAGAATGAGTTCCAGGACAGGCTCTAAAACTCTGTCTTGCCTCTTTCCTCCTTCAATAAACAACATTTGGCATTAAAAAAAAATTAAAAAAAAAAAGGCCTGGAGAGATGGCTCAGAGGTTAAGAGCACAGACTCCTTTTCCAGATGTCCTGAGTTCAATTCCCAGCAACCACATGGTGGCTCACAACCATCTGTAATGAGATCTGGTGCCCTCTTCTGACCTGCAGTCATACATGCTGTATACAAAATAAACAAATAAATCTTAAAAAAAAAAAAAAACCAAAAACAACAACAACAAAAAAACTCTGTCTCGAAAAACCAAAA